TTTTTCAGCTCTAATCCATGTATTTACACCATAGAATCATGTTTTTATGTCCAAGAGTTGATACCTGATCAAAGCCCTTGAAATTCTCTTCAAAATCGCCCAAAAACTCTCCAAGTCCGAGTTAAAAATGTGAAACCCTTCAAAAATTTGCGAAGATGAAATTAAATAAATCTGCCCAGTCATCTCGCTTCTGCGGTCCCGTTTCCTCTTATGCGGGACCGCTTCTGCGGTCACTACACCGCTTGTGCGGTTTCCTCTTTAAAATCCTCGGCCAGTTCAGCGGCTCCAATTTCGCACCAGCGGAACCGCTTCTGCGGTCCACACTTCCGCTTCTGCGGAAACTACCTAAGTCCCTTTTCGCTTCTGCGAGTTCCACCTCCGCTTCTGCGTGACCGCACATGCGGTCCCATAACCGCAGGTACGAAAATACCAGATACCAGCAGACTTAGCAACATGGAAAAAAATCCAAAACTCTCCGTTTAACCGTCCGAACTCACCCCGAGGCCCCCGAGACCTCAACCAAAAGTACCAATGCATCCTACAACGTTATTCAAACTTGTTCCAATCACAAAACACATCCAACAACACTAATATTATCAATTCTCATCGAATTCAAGCCTAAGTTCTTCCAAAACTTCCGAAACACGCACTCGATCAAAAACCCAACCAAATGACCTCTGAAACATCTGAAATTTTGCACACACATCCCAAATCACCTAACGAAGCTACTGCAGCTCTCAGAATTCCATTCCGACCCTCGGATCAAAATCTCACCTATCAACCGGAAATCGCCAAAATACTAACTTCGCCAATTCAAGCCTAATTCTACACCGGACCTCCAAAATCACTTCCGATCACACTCCTAACTCACAAATCACTCCTCGAAGCTAACCGAAACACCGGAAATCACATCCGAGCCCTCGAACTCATAAGTCAACATCCGGTTAACTTTTCCAAACCAAACCTTCCTTAAAGAGACTAAGTGCCTCATTTCCTACCAAAACCAACCCAAATCAACTCTAACACACCAAATACCGATAATGAAACATGAAGAAGCATAAAATGGGGGAAATGGGGCGGTAACTCATGAGACGACGGGTCGGGTCGTCACATTTACACGAAGAACTCACACACTTGGCACACGAACTGTTTGGCTCACATAGTTTGAAGCCCTCGGGTCAACACTTGGCAACTCAAAGCTTCCATCATATATACATGTATAACTCTAGGTAGACATAGAGTCACAGAGCGAGCCTCAAGTTCACAAAGTTGATAACTCCTTTTTTATATATATATGAAAGGGTATAGGCTATATATAGACACACATGCTTGAGACTAGACAATTACACCAAACCGGTCAACATGTTTCATTCTACTGTCCTGGTTCTACTATTACACCCTTAGAAAAGAACCTGGCAAAGAAAAACCAAGGGCAATTCATTGCTAATTACTAAAGATGGACAACTATCTACCTGTTTTTGTTGTTTTGTTTAATTACTTGTTTTGTTTTTTTATATACACAAGGATAACATAACTAATGTACGGAAATCACAAAACATTGATATATAAATAGAGTCACAAGATACACATGGGTACATAATTCTGTTTGTAGCACAAAAACATCAGTATGTACAACAGTATCCAATGTCATTCAAGTCTAATATTCACAACCAAAAGTATATACAAGGCTACCATCCACCCCCAACTAAAAGCATGCATTGTACCCAATGCATAAGAACATAGAGTAGAGTTTAAGGGGCTCCCTGAGGCGCACTAAACGCTATGGGAGTCGGCAACTGGCTGAGTGATGGTGGGGTCACCCTCTGATGCTGAAGCTGGGGCTGATGAGGTCTCGGCCTGAGGAGTGACCTCCACTGATGGAGGAGGGATCTCTGGCTGGCTCAGTACTGGAGTTGGGGCCTGTGAGCTGCTAGCCTCACCCGCTGATGGCTGAGTGGCCGATGGATCTGCAGGGGCGGCCATGTCTGCTAGCGAATGTTGTATTGCTATCTGAACGTCTGCTTGCTCCTCGTGCTTAGCTGGAGGAGGAGCAATCTGCTTGCCCTTCTCCTGAGGGCCATCATCCTCCGAGGACCAAGAATCCTCCTCATCCTCCCCCTCGTCTGCCTCCTCACCCTCGGACTATGAAGAATGTCCGGAATCCTCCTCATCAAGAATATTAATACGTACATGAGGAGCTGGAGGTTGGGAAACCCCAGCAGTCTGAGGTGCAGTGTCTGCCATCGGAGAAGTGAAATCAAGACCCAAATCTGGCGCTGCTGTGTCTGCACCCTGCTCTCCTTCCTTGGGCGGGAGGGATGATATATCGAACTCCAAAGTCTGCATCTTGTGGAGCTCGGTCTTCATAGTGGCAACCTCCTCCCGGAGCTTAGGAAGGTCACCAACCTCACCTCGCTCTATCCTCCCGACCCTCAACTCGAGCTGTTGCAGGGGATCCCCATAAGTTGTCTGTTGTTGTTGGAGTGCTGTCACTGAGGACTGTATCGGAGTCAAGGCCTGTTTGATGAGGTTTGGTAACGTCTTAAGAAGCTGGTCCACCTTAGCATTGGCATGCTGAGCGGTGAGACCAAGCCGCGAGTCGGCTGGTAGTGTAGCAGAAGGCGGAGCAATGGTGGACTGAGAGGCGGGCTGTGCAGTGGGAGTAGATGCAATCGGGGCTTGAGGGGACACAGTAGTCTGGGACTCTGAGGGCTCTACATCAACTGGAATCGGAGTCTGAACCTCTGGGGGGAGTGACAACATCACTAATGCGCGTGATGTCAATATCTTTCAGCACCTTTCCTGCTTATCAGAGTGGGGCATGAGTGGGACATTCACAGCCTTGCAGAGGGCTGTGATCAAGCAGAGGAACGGCAGTGAAGTGGCTGTCTGCCTTGCTTGGATCCCTAGCTCTTGGAAGATAAGGGCTCCCACATCGATCTTGATTCCCGTCATAATACATGCAATGAGAAGAGCCTTCTCAATGCATATGTTAGTCTCATTTGTGGACGGTATCAGTCGAGAGGTGACAAAACTGAGCCAAAATCGACCCTCTCGTGTGAGATCCTCCTTCAATATTTTGTGCACAGGATTGATCCAAGCAGGGGTCCCCTTTGCTATCACAGATGCTATCCAACTCCTCTCATTCTCCCGGTTTTCCCATTTGGTTTGGTACTCAGCTGTGCCCGGGCTCCAGTCAGGGATGTAAAATTTATTAATGGTCTTAGCGCTGTAGCTCACATCTTTCCCCCGAACTAACACAGTATCACAGAATATCCTGTTGCGCTTGTGGTGAGCACTCGTGGAAGCTCCGTATGAAGCATAAAACTCACAGACAAGGGTTTCATTGTAGTCATCTGGTAGCTCAGTGAAACACTCCCATTTTCTAGCTTTTATGTTCTCCCAGATGTGGGGGTGCTGCTCTTTAAGTCCGTTCATGCTCACTTGCTTCTCGGCAAGGATTTTTCTCTTTGTTAGCCCTTCTCTATAGAGTTCCCTACAACCATCGATTGCAAACGGAGTTGGTAGTCCTCTCCCCTTTTTCTTCTTGCCTCTTCCTATAGGTCTATTGAAGGCAAGGTCTCCTCCTCATCAGACTGGGAAGGACGTGGAACATCAGGGTCCGTTCAGGATCATTTTGCTTGTGATGCTTGACGACTGGATTATGCCCTTTTCAGTGCAGAGGATGCATGTTTCTTGGGAGCCATATCTGCACGAGGGTGAAATGTGAGTGACATTGTAAGCAACAGTGAAAAAAAAATAGAAAAGAAAGAAAAACAACAAAAAAAAATTAAAAATGCGACAGGTATGCGGTCGCATAACCATTATGCGGACCGCAAACTTGTCGCAAACTTGCAGCTCTTGAAATGATCAAAATATGCGATGGGTTATGTGATCGCATAACTACTATGCGGACCGCATAACCATCGCAAACTTGTGTCCATAGAAAATCACATCATGAAATGTGATCGCATTCTCCACCGCAAAGTAGGAAATGCAATCGCAAAATGGCCGCAAAACTCATGCTGAGAAATTGGGATCGCAAACTCACCGCATTTTGTCATCTTCCTTAGCCAACCTAGGGTTCAGTTATGCGGGAAGAATGCGGACCGCATTTTGATTTTGCGATCCGCAAAGTTCATCGTTCCAAACGAGTTAAACTAACCCTTAACAATGGCGGCCCTATTTCTTGCTACCCAGCACCCCCAAAACACCTTACTCAACTACACACTCATCACGAACCGGTTTCTAATTACAAAGCAGGAAAGAAGAACACAGAAGAAAAATAAAAAGGGAAAACATGAAGGAAAAACTAGGGAAACAAGAATAAGAGTAAATGTACAACCAAAGCTTGAAATGATGGAATTGGCCCAAAGGAAACATACCGGTGATGATGTTTCTGAGCACTCTTGGAGTATTAGATCAAGCCTTAGTCGTTTTTTCCTTCTCCGTTCCTTTTTTTTGTTTTGTTTCTGGTAAAATAAAAAAAATTGTTTTGTTTTGAATGTGTGAGAGATGTAAGGATGCAAAGATATACCTGATGATTTTGCGGTGGGTAAGTTACCGCATAACACACTATGCGATCGCATAAATGTTATGCGGTAAATTCAAGTGACTTGCTGAAGGGCCCAAAATGCGGTGAGCTATGCAATCGCATAGTGGGAACGCGATCCGCATAGTGCACCCCCTCGTCGCATCTTTACCACCAGATTTAGCCAACACACTGTGTTGGTTTGCGGCCAAAATGCGGTCCGCATAGTCAAAATGCGACCGCATATGTGCAGCAAACTGTGCAAAGTGATTTTTCTTCCCTTTTTCATGCAATCTTACCCCGTGTTATAATCTTTTGAATCCCCTGCACTCTAACACACACTTTAAAATGCTCAATTAAATCTATCTAATAAAAATTTGAAAAAAAAACTCCATACCACACATGGGTTGCCTCCCATGAAGCGCTTGATTTAACGTCGTGGCACGACGAATTTGACCTTCCCTTGGATTCACTCATTGGTCGGGCATGGACCATCTTTAAGATCCAACTGCTCCACCAAATATTTTTCTCCATTTGTGCCCAAGTAATGCTTGACTCGCTGGCCATTCACTTTGAAGGTTCGAAGCCCATCATCCGATTCTAGTTCCACAGCTCCAAAAGGGGAGACATTTACCACTTTGAACGGACCGGACCATTTTGATTTTAGCTTGCCTGGAAACAATTTGAGCCTTGAGTTAAAGAGCAAAGCCAAGTCACCCGACTTGAACTCCCTTTTCAAGATCTTTTTGTCATGGACGAACTTCATCCTTTCATTATACACAGCTGCACTTTCATATGCATAGAAACGGAATTCCTCCATTTTATTGAGTTGTGTTAACCTCAAATTTGCAGCTTCAGCCCAATCCAAGTTCAACCTTTTCAGAGCCCACATGGCTTTGTGTTCCAATTCTATGGGTAGATGACAAGCTTTGCCGAAAACTAACCGATAAGGAGAAGTACCAATAGGAGTCTTGTACGTCGTGCGGTACGCCCACAATGCATCATCTAGCTTCCTTAACCAGTCTGTCCTGTTTGCATTAACAGTCTTTGCTAGAATGCTCTTGATCTCCCGGTTTTAAACCTCAACTTGACCGCTAGATTGGGGATGATAAGGTGTGGCCACCTTGTGCTTGACGCCATACTTCTCTAGTAGCCCGTGAAAGCCTTGTTACAAAAATGAGACCCTCTATCACTAAGAATGGCCCTAGGAGTGCCAAACCGAGTGAATATGTTTTTCTTCAAGAATGTTGTCACACTTCTTGCCTCGTTGTTTGGTAATGCAATTGCTTCAACCCATTTGGACACGTAGTCCACAGCTACCAAGATATATTTCATCCCTCAAGAGCTCACAAAGGGACCCATAAAATCAATTCCCCACACGCCGAAGATTTCTATCTCCATCACAAAGTGCATAGGCATTTCATGCCTCTTGGAGATTGATCCTTGCCTTTGACATTGGTCACACGCCTTGACCATTTTATTGGCATCATGATAGATTGACGGCCAATAGTAACCACATTCAAGCACCTTAGCTGCTATTCGATTTCCCCCATGATGACCCCTAACCGGTGAGTCATGGCATGCCTTTAGAATTGGCATAATCTCTTCTTCTGGAATACACCTTCTAATAATATTATCATCACAAACACGGAACAAGAATGGTTCCTCCCAATAATACTGCCGACAATCTCTCAAGAACTTCTTCTTTTGATAGGATTCCAATCCCTCCGGAATAAGGTCACTTACCAAGTAGTTAGCAATATCGGCATACCACAGAGCAAAAGTTCTAGATAGTGCCAATATTTGTTCATCCGGGAAGGCATCATTGATTTCAAGATCTCCCTTTGGTCTCCCTGTCTCTTCAAGCCTTGATAAATGATCTGCCACTTGATTTTGAGTTCCCTTGCGATCCTTGACCTCGAAGTTGAATTCTTGCAGCAATAAGACCCATCGAATCAACCAAGGCTTTGCATCCTTCTTTGCCATGAGATAGCGAAGAGCAGCATGATCCGTGTACACTATCACCTTGGATCCCAACAAATAAGACCGGAACTTCTCAAAGGCATAGACAATGGCAAGAAGCTCTTGCTCAGTTACCGTGTAATTCATTTGCGCCCCATTGAATGTCTTGCTTGCATAATAAACAGGGTGGAGAACCTTGTTGTGACGTTGGCCAAGCATTGCTCCGATAGTTACACCACTGGCGTCACACATGAGCTCGAAAGGAAGAGACCAATCGAGTGTGACAATAATAGGTGCCGTGGTGAGCCTTTGCTTCAATTCCTCAAAAGCATTGAGGCATTTCTCATCAAACACAAATTTGGCATCTTTCTCAAGGAGTTTGCACATATGATTTGCAATTTTGGAAAAATCCTTGATGAAACGCCTATAGAATCCGGCATGCCCTAAGAAACTTCGAACACCTTTGACGGAAGTAGGTGGAGGAAGCTTGGAAATAATCTCGATCTTAGCCCGGTCAACTTCTATGCCATGTTTTGAAATTTTATGCCCCAATACGATGCCTTCGTCCACCATGAAGTGGCATTTCTCCCAATTGAGCACAAGGTTGGTTTCCTTACATCTCTTATGCACTTGTCTAAGATTGTTAAGACAATGCTCAAAAGAATCACCTACCACCGAGAAGTCGTCCATGAAGACTTCTAGAAAATCCTCTACCATGTCGAGAAAATAGACATCATGCATCTTTGAAAAGTAGCCGGAGCGTTGCATAAACCAACTGTCATCCGGCTAAAGGCAAAAATGCCATAGGGGCAAGTGAATGTCGTCTTCTCTTGATCCTCCAATGCTATGTTGATTTGGTTGTAGCCGTAATATCCATCAAGGAAACAATAGAATGACCTTCCCGCTAGCCGATCAAGCATATGATCAATAAAAGGCATAGGGAAATGGTCTTTGCATGTGGCACTGTTGAGCTTCCGGTAATCCATACACACCCTCCAACCGGTCACCGTTCTTGTTGGGAAGAGCTCATTTTTATCATTTTCAATTACGGTCATGCCTCCCTTTTTCGGCACACATTGCACCGGGCTCACCCAAGAACTATCGGCAATAGGGTAAACCACCCCGGCATCCAATCAATTGATGATTTTTTTCTATACCACTTCTTACATTGACGGGTTCAACCATCATTGATGTTCAACAGTTGGTTTCGTTTCACTCTCCAATTGGATCTTGTGCTCGCAAATCCCTGCAGGAATTCCTCGGATGTCCGCAATTGTCCTTCCAATGGCTTGCCTATGCTCCTTCAAGACTTCCAACAATTGTTCCACCTGCACATCATTCAACAAAGAAGAAACGATTACGGGTAAAGTATCATTGGAGCCAAGAAATTTATACCTCACGTGTGGTGGAAGTGGTTTGAGCTCTAGTTGCGGTGGCTCGATAATAGAAGGCATTGCGGGCGGATTGGCTCTATTCTCCAAATCGAGAGAGAGCTTTGCTGGAGCATAAGTGTAGGATCCAAGCCCCTCTAATGCATTTACCGATTCCATATAACCCTCCATATCTTCACCATCAAAGTTCACCAAAATAGCCGCTAACGCCTCGCCGAGGCATTGTTCTTCCATTTTCATTTCAACTGCATCCTCTACTGCATCAACAACATCGATCACCGAGATGCTTTCATACTCATGTGGTAGTTTCAACCCTTGCTTGCTTGGAATGTAACATCTTCATCATTCACACGGNACAAAAACATACATAAAGCTATTTATAGTGGACTGAAAATCGGGACAGAAAACGGACAAAAATACCCTTTTAGGTCAGAAATGCGACCGCATTCTTGTCGCATAAGTGCAATGCGGTTCGCATTTTGGACGTCCCCATCGCAGACTGAAACCCTAGTTTTCAGATCTTCATCGCATTCCAGATCTGCGGTTCGCATTGTAGAAAAGCGATCGCATTTTGCATCGCACATTCGTCCTTCAGCAACCTTCATGGTTGGTTTGTGGTCCGTTTTGCGGCTCGCAGACAGGTTCTGCGGTCGCATAATGGACCGCATTCTTGACTTGAGATTTGCCCAGAACTCTGCTTTTGTCTGCGATATGAGTGTCGATTATGCGGCTCGCAGATGTGATCTGCAATCGCATAATGCGTCGCAGAACCGCATTTTTGCTACATTTTGCTCTTTTCTTGTCTTTTTGCATTCATTTCCATTCTCTTGGGTCCTTAGTCCTTATGTACTGTAAAAACACCAAAATTACATGAGTAAAGGAGGTAATTGCATTAAAACAAGCTAAAATCTAAGCAACTAGTATTGAAATGTGCCGAAATTCCTCGGCACATCACCCTGGTACCTCTAATATGCAACCTCCAGTCGGACCGGTCAGGAACACCCTTCTCGTCGTGTCTGGCACACCGGTATATACAATCTCGCCATCACCTCCTGTGACGAGGCCAAACAATGAGCCACCATCTCATGCTAACAATGAGCCCCCATCTCATGCTTATGATGGCCAATACTATTCTCCAAATATGGCTTTCAGGGTCTCGGCTCCATACAATCAGACTCCTCAATACGAGTCACCAGTGGAAAATGAAAAGCCTGCCACGACGGTTGAGCCAGATGAGATGGCCAGGAAAATGAAAAGTCTTGAACAGAATATAAAGAACATACACGGACTAGGTGGTCACAAAAGTGTTTCATT